GGGGGGGTCCCCCTTAAAATATTTTTACTGCATTGCCAAACAGAGCCGGGGGTAAAGGTCATATTTAAGTTGGGTTTTGCTTTTTTTGCCGCAGCGCCGGGCTCCGCTGGCGGTGCTGAAGTGCTGGATAGCTACTGCCGCCGCGGGGCCGCCGCGCCGGGGGCATGATCGAGAGCCGCCTCCCGGCCACCATGTCGGGACTCGTCAGGAGCTCAGGGCACAGCCGCCACCCTTCACAGGAGTACAGGTGAGCCCTTCGACCCTTCCCAAAACACGCGCTGCGCCGTCACAGCCTGCTAACTCCTGTTGGGTTCTATTTCCTTAAAAAAACAAACAAACAAACAAACAAACCCACAACCTTAGCATATAGAAAACAACATTTTTTTATCTATTTTTTTAAAGTTAACCGCATTATTTCTCCACTGTAAACCAGATTCCTAACCTGGTGACCGGTTACAATGCACTACTCATTTAGAAGCATTCCTGTTTAAAGTATTTCGATACTAAACTATGTTTGATAAAAGCCTTGGGGTGACCTCCCAGTAAACTCTACTGTATGAGTGTTGCCTCTCTCTACTGTATGAGTCTTGCCAGAGAAGGATGTTCTCGTTAAATAATAATTATTTAAAAGTTCCCTTTCAGATCACGTTTTGCATTGTTATGAAACAGTCATGGGGAGACTAAATCAAGCGCAGTAGACACTAGAAAAGTTTTTCATTAAAACAAGTGCTTATGGAGTACTCCAAAGCACTGACTGCTGTCAAAGTTCTAATATCAGTGGGAACAAACCTGGATTTGTCAACAGCCTTTGGTAATTTACCTGTACCACTACACACCCATTTAACATTGAAAAGTACTCTTAGAAGTCACTGGATAGTTCTGCATGAATTACAGTGCACTGGGTTAAGTTAGGTTACATCTCGTCACATGATGCAAAGTTCCAAGAAATACAGAATAGCAGAACAGGATCCAGTTCTCACAGTAAAAAAAAAAAAAAATAAAGTTTTCCTGTTTTAAAATGCAGAGTGAGAGACTATCTCCTTCCTCCCAGCCTGGGGGTGTTTTCACCCCCTTCTGTGGGTAATAGCGGTCAGCCGCAGGTATTCTTCTACCAGCCTCACTCTATTCAAAATGCAAACACTGCACTGCACCCTCTTGCAGCTCAACAAGTGATTTGTTATACTCTCTGAAGCCACTGTCGAAAAAGGTTTGTGGAACTCTGTTTTGCTGTTTATCAAAGCACTGTTTGCTCTCGGCGTTTTTGTTGGCTATGTAAATATTTGTGAAGAAATTATTCAGTATTTAATGAAGGGTGTGTATGAGAGAGAGACTTCTGGGTATTTATATTTAAGTCTGTATCTTCAGTGCCCTGAAGAACATACCACCTTAACAAAGACCCTTTTTATGGAGAGAACTATTCTTTAACTCATAGCTGCAGAAAAACACTCTTTTTTTGAGAAAGATAGGATTTATTTTACTTCCAGTAAAGGAATTGTAAAAGTTTCTTCTTTTCTTTGGAAGTCAGCTGCTTTTAAAAACTACTTTCAATTCTCTGTTAAACATTTTGAACTCAAAGATCCCAGTTCTCTAAAGTTTTTAACCCACTTGTGATTTCTTTAATGCATCTTTAAAAGGAATTATTTGACCTCATTTAATAGTGGCAAATTCTGATAAAAATGCATAAAATCTGCACTGCACCATAAATGCAGAGCAGTATTTGTCCTACTTCATGAGAAAACACTTTGGATTATGTAAAAGAAAATCTTTTAGACTGAATGATTTTAAGAAAAGAATAGACCTGTCAAATTCTATCAGCTCTGTTTACTCTCCTGCTGTCACCACAGTCCAAGACTGGAACCCACAGTCCCGAGTTCTCCATGGGGGAGCATCAAGGCTCCACAAAATGGGGAATGGCCTCCAATTAGTGAGTGGGAGGCTGGGGCTGTGCTGAGAATACTCTTCTGTCTCACTTGGAATCTTTCAATGGGACAGTTGGACTTGGAGGAGACCGGGCTTTCCTGCGAGTGTGCAGGAGGAAACACTGAAAAGGGAGGGGAGTGCATGGGCGTGTAAGCAGGGGATCAAATCAACAAATACTGATCAGTTTTCATACAGCTTATGCGTGCACTTTGAAACTCTGGGATTTTTTTCTTTTCTTTTTTTTTTTTTTAATGGATGAGGAAAAAAATCCCTGATTTTACCAGGTCTGAATTCTCTGGATCCAAAACATCTATAGTAAGTCTGATGTAGCACGTAGAGTAGTAATGAGGATTAGACTGCTATGCAAAGTCCAGTGACTATTTGCACCATAGTAAAATGATTTTAAATAAATATCTCTTCCACCAATGCAGCTGTGGGATATAAAACATCATGCTGTCCAGGAATGATTAAGGGCCATCGTATCTTCTCTGATGCCTATGTTTTTATGGTGCTGTCACTGCCTGACTACCAATGAAAAGTAATACTTTGCATTAGCAGATACCTCTCAGTCTCCCAGAGAAAATATTGCTACCTTCAATATTTTCCTAATTGTAGCAGTGAGAAATATTTCTAACGATTTCAATTTACATTTCAGGGACTAAATGTAGTGGTAACACACTGTGATTTTCTTAACCCTTAACACTTTATTCTTGTTAATTAATAATCTAACATTATGTTTGAGTGTAAATATTTTGATGTTTAAATTGAAGCAATAGGCGGACCACAAGTTTACTATGCAGTGGTGCACTTGTGGTTATTTCAGCACAACGCTGTGTAAACTATAGGAGCCAACTGGAAGGCTACTAAATTAGCAGAGAGCTCCCGTGGTCTTCAGGGGACTTGGAGCTGGTCACTGAGAAACAGGGTTCTTCAGCTCATGAACGCTGTGGTCTTCAAGCAGTATTTTTAACTGGAAGCTGCAATCTATCCTTTCACAGTCTAATTTGATTTAACACACATAACCAGTGCAAGAGAAGCATGATCCACTGTGATGTACAGAAGTACGGAATCAGATTTACTGTGCAGGTCTTGAGCAGTAGAAGCCCCAGGGAGGCAGATGAGAGGCCAAGGTGGGCCTGGACTAAGACTGCTAAAGCACTTACAGACCTGTAAGTTCTCTCCCAAAGAAGCCTCAGTATTATCCTAAGTCAGCGTTCTTGGTTTTCAAATAAGCAGCAGTGTGCTTATTTTTCACAGGAACTATCCCATTCCCAAATTAGGTACAGTTATGTGCGGTCTATTACCTATCATATAATAAATCATGACATGAGAAACGGGACATTGGAAAGGAGACAGTAATTTGCTATGGATTCTTTGGCATGTGTGAAAATGCAAATGTAAGGAATCAAGTCATCATTCTGGGTAACAATGTGGCATCCATATTTTGAAAGAAATAACTCAAATGTATAATTCAATTTGAAGAAATAACATTACTTTAGAAGTAAGGCTAACTCTAGACCAAAAAGATGAATTAACTTCATGTTTTGCAGCTCAATATTTTGTGTAAGGACCATGTTTCTATTTTTTTATATTACTCTGTGTTTCCAGTTGATAGAAGCCTTATGTAGTATTTTGAAGGCCTTGCAATACATTTTCCATACATGTTAAACACAAATTCAGTTTTAAATAGCTATCTTTTTCATCAAAAGTTGTTATTCATTGTTAATCACTCAACGTATTAGGAGACTATATCCTCCACCCCATTTTAATTTTTTCCTTGGGTTCTTCAAATATTGGTGTGTATTCATCAGCTCATTCACAATTCTGTGAATTCTGTGAATTAGATAGTTTGATTAAATTTTTGTTGTAATAATTACTTTATGCTAGCATAGTTTAGTGTAAAATCATATGAAGAAGCACAGGCACATAAATGTGCAACCTCTGTATTCTATACGTTTCGGATGCGCCTGCATTATAGTGGTGAAAAAGGTGAAAAGCCTTTATGACACACAGTTCATTTTAGCTCTCCTAAGTGGTACTCTCATATCTGGCTTTGCACTTTGGTTTCTGCAGAGCAAGCTACAGCTCAGGACTTCTGACTGTCACCACTGGGGATGGATGGAGCCCGGGAGTTTGCATGCAGGACATTTCTGCAGACAAAAGGTTACAAATGCATAACTAACGAAACCGTAATTGTTCCTGAAGAAAATGTCAGTGTCCATTCCCTTGACACCATGTGTGTCTGACAGGGAATGAGATAATGACTCGATGTGTCGGAGGAATTTCATCACAGTAGTTGCCTCATTCTTTCAAAAAAATGTGAGAAACCTCCTAGGAATCAGTCAAACTCAGGCCACTGTGGATTGATTTAAGTGGATTAGCTCAACTGTTTCCTATGCAGTTCCTGAAATGTGCTAATCGGTATTAATAAAAAATTGTGGCCCTTGCTCCTCAAATTGTCTTGCAGTCACAGGCAGAAATGGGAAGGGCTGGTTTGTACCCAGACAGTGTCTTGTAGGCTTCTCAGGCTCGTCTGCCTCCAGCGAAACCAGAACTGAGTTCCTATCTTACCTGAAAAGAGGTGCTTGACCTCCCGTTTAAAACAAGAAAGCAGAAAAGGAATTTGGACTTTCTGAGCATTCCTGTGAGATCTCAGGTGCTCATGGCACGCTGCTCTGATTTTACTCATTTTAAAAATCTCTGTGTGTGGAAAGCAGAATTGCTGCATGATCACAGCAGCAACTGATGCAAGTGAGATGCGTTCTTACAGCAGTGCAAAACAAAGGGTAGTATATTTTATATTCCCTTTACACTGGAGTAAATAACTACACGAGATCAGTTCATGGCTAATAAGAAGCAGATGAAGCAATGTTAAAGGAAAGATTGCTTCCCAGGTAGACAATGCTACTGATTTTTATAGAAAGCATTCCTCTAGTGCCAGGTACTTCAGCACATTTTTGCATTGACAAGCAGCTTATTTTGACATTAGCCACAGATTTTCATTTTGTGTTTTGTTTTTGGGGGTTTTGGGGTGTGTTTTGTTTTTTTTTTTTTTAACAAAACAGATTGCACAGTCAGATATGGGCTGCATTTGGCATCCCGAACCTGGGGATGGTTATGTGGGTAAAGCACAGCAGGGAGCGAGTGGCTGGGAGTTCAGTGCTGATGTTGCTCCTAATTTCCTCTTAGGCTTAAGCAAATCACGTAGGTCACTTGTAATTTAGTTTCCCTTCATCCTATACCAAAATGATGTAATGAGGTGTTGTGAAACTCAGAGCTGAAATGTATAAAAGTCTCTGGGAGCACATCTATAGCGCTAAGTACCTT